CCAGCCTATTTTATTTTATTAGAGAGGGTCTGGCTTTGTGTCCCAGACTGGAGTGCAGTGGCACAATCACAGCTCACTGCAGCTTCTGCCTCCCGAGCCCAACCGATCCTCCCACTTCAGTCTCCCAAGTAGTAGAGACCACAGATGCATGCTACCGCACCCTGCTAATTTTATTTTTCTGGAATGGAGTCTCACTGTGTTGCCCAGCCTGGTCTTGAACGCTTGACCTCAAGTAATTCTCCCACCTTGACTTCCCACAGTGCTGGGATTACAGGTGGGAACTACCGTGCCTAGCCACATTTTAGCTTTTTATTATAAAATTTTTCAAACTTTACATCAAAATAGAATAGTATAATGAACTCTAATATACCGGTCACCCAAATTTTGTTTTTAACAAAAACACAAGTCTCATCCCTCAGGGCAAATTTTTTGTGGCAGTCCATGGGATATAAATAATCTATCAAGCTAGGCATGGTGGCTGATGCCTGTAATCCCAACACTTTAGGAGGCTAAGGCGGCCTGATTGCTTGAGCCCAGGTGTTTAATACCAGCCTGTACAACATGGTGAAACCCTGTCTCTACGAAAAATTAAACAGATGTGATGGCGTGTGCCCGTAGTTCCTACTCCAGAATCATCTGAAGTCAAGGTCGTAGTGAGCCATAATTGTGCCTGGGCAACAGAGTGAGACGCTATCTTAAAAATAAATAGGTAGGGCTGCCCCCCCGGCCGCTAGAATTAGAACTCATTAAAAGTATCACTAAGGCCGGGCGCGTGGGCCCACCCTATAATCCCAGCACTTTTGGGAGGTTGAGGCAGGCAGATCATGAGATCAGGAGTTTGAGACCAGTCTGGCCAACATGATGAAACCTCATCTCTACTAAAAATACAAAAATGAGCCTGGCATGGTGGCAGGTGCTAGTAATGCCAGGTACTCAGGAGGCTGAGGCAGAGAACTGCTTGAACCCGGGAGGTGGAGGTTGCAGTGAGCCAAGATTGTGCCACTGCACTCCAGCCTGGGCAACAGATAGAGACTCTGTCTCAAATAAATAAATAAATAAATAAATACATAATTATCGAGGAAGCCCCACATCTCAGAGTGTTAACTGCTCCAGTCACTTGGTGCTGTCGAATTACAGCCTGTTTGGCAATTCTTACCATCTATAATTTGAGAACTTACTACCCACCAGAAACTAAGTGCTTTGCAAACATTACTATTAGTTGTAGCAAATACGTACTTTGGACTTACAATGCGCAGTCTTTGCTAAGGGCTTTATGGGCCTTATTTCATTTAATCCTATGAGATTGATGATTTGCCAATTTTACAGATGAAAAAACAGACATAGTAGTTAGGGGTTGGTGGGGTTTTATTTTATTTTTTGTTTTTGTTTGGAGACAGAGTCTCACTGTGTCAACCAAGATGGAGTGCAGTGGCACAATCAGGGCTCACTACAGCCTCCACATCCTGGGCTCAAGCAATCATCTCACCTCAGCCTCCCTAGTAGCTGGGACTACAGGCGTGTGCCACTACATCGGGCTAATTTTTTGTAGAGACAGAGTTTTACAATGTAGCCCAGGCTGGTCTCAAACTCCTGGGCTCAAGCAATCAGCCCACCTTGGCCTCTCAAAGTGCTGAGATTACAGGCATGAGCTACCATGCCCCGCCTGTAGTTAGGGTTTGGACACATTCTGTGTGACACCAACATCTATCCTCTTTAACAGCCAGATTACATAGCCTCTTTGTAGTAATAAATGTTGAGTGAATGAATATATTTATGTGTCAGTGAACATTGCCAGGGTATACATATTTTTCCAATTATAAACTAGAGAGCAATCCACTGTGCCCCAGCACCTGCATCATACCTGCTCTAAAGCACTTATCGGGTTGTATTGCAGTGATTTGTCTACAGCACTAGTATTCCCTATACTGACTTATGTCCCTGGGGATTAGCCAATTCTTGGGAAACACCTGGAACTCAAAAACAGTTTGCTAAGTGAATGAATGAGAGGCCCAAACTACTTCTCTTCAGTGCCATACAGTGCAGCTCACATACAGGCTCACATACGAGTTCAAAGACCACAGGCTTCTACCTGCACAGCTCAGCTCTCCTCATAACTCCGGAGAAACCCTGGACATGCCAGGGTGTCCTGTTGAGTGATTGCATCCAGAAGAGGGGGAGGATGTCCCAAACACTAAGTAATCCAGGTTTGGGTTGGAAAACAAGGTTGAAGTTATTCATTAGCAGGTGAAAGGGTCAAGGGTCGAGTGCAAGGGAAAAGCAGAGTGGAGTGAGCAGCCAGTAGGGGAGAGAGCAGTTAAGGCACACAGAGCACCAGCTCCCTCCTGCCTGAAGATGTTCTACCAAATTTGGGTAGCTCTGCTCTACCTCTATGGTATTATCCTTAACTTCATCTACCAGTGCCCTGAGCACAGTCAACTGACAACTCTGGGCGTGGATGGGAAGGAGGTATGGACTGAGACTGGGGGAAGCCCATGGTGGAAGCTCTGAGGGACTTGGGTGGATGGCCTAAGATGACTGGAAGCCATCCTGGGAAAGGAAGGGAGGAAGGGGGTGTGAGTATTGTGTTAATGAAAGCAAGAAGAAAAATATCAGTACTGTGGCCATCAATGCAGAGGCATGGCAGAATTGGGGGGTGGGGTAGTTACCCAGGTTGATTGGAGAGGGGCAAAGAGGAAAAGTCATTTAATGACTCTGTCATGGATCTAATCCCAGTTGGAAAGAGGAAGGCAGCCAACACCTCTACCCCTAAGTATTGCTGTCCTGCCTGATGAAGAGGTTGGACCTGTCCCGTGCTGGAACCCACCCTCTTTCGCTCCCCTCATTGTCTCTCCAGCTCCCAGAGGTCTACCTGGGCCAGTGGTACTTTATTGCAGGGGCAGCTCCCACCAAAAAGGAGTTGGCAACTTTTGACCCTGTGGACAGCATTGTCTTCAACATGGCTGCTGGCTCTGCCCCAATGCAGCTCCACCTTCGTGCTACCATCCGCATGTGAGTGGTGAGGAGGCGGAAGCATCAGTGGGTTCAGTCTCTGCCCAAAGTGTGACCACCAAGAGCTGGGCTCTTAGCTGATATATCCATTATTCTTGACCCATGGAATTCAATGGCTGTATTGTCCTCTGGAGAGAGATGGGCCTAACCAATGCTTAGTAGCTTGAAATCCAAGGAGAGCTGGGCTTCAATAAAGAATAAGATGGAGTAAATAGAAGCTGGTACACTGTAGTTGGGTTCATGCTCATTCTTTCCTCCTTGCCACCATGACCTCTGCAGGAAAGATGGGCACTGTGTGCCCCGGAAATGGATCTACCACCTGACTGAAGGGAGCACAGATCTCAGAACTGAAGGTTGGTTCTTCCCAGCCCTCACCCTTCCCATGTCCCCTGAGCTTGGTTCTGCACCTCTGTTCTCATGCTTCTCCGAACCTATTTGACAGGCCGCCCTGACATGAAGACTGAGCTCTTTTCCAGCTCATGCCCAGGTGGAATCATGCTGAATGAGACAGGCCAGGGTTACCAGCGCTTTCTCCTCTACAGTGAGTGGGGATGCAAGGCAGGAAGGTTTGGAGGGAAACAAGGGAGGGCGGAGAACTCCTCACTCTGGGCCCTATGACATCCTCCCAGGAAGAGCTAGGTGCTTCCAGGGGTTTTGACTGGCCTGGCCCCATCTTGCCCTTCCAGATCGCTCACCATATCCTCCCAAAAAGTGTGTGGAGGAATTCAAGTCCCTGACTTCTTGCCTGGACTCCAAAGCCTTCTTACTGACTCCCAGGAATCAAGGTAAGGGGTCAAAGTCTCACAGAAGAGGCTTAGGACTCACCAAGTCTTCCGGGGTTACAGGGTGAAAGAGGCTTGTGTAATGTCACTAGAGGCATGTGGCTAAGAGTTGTGATGTTGGGCCGGGCGCGGTGGCTCAAGCCTGTAATCCCAGCACTTTGGGAGGCCGAGGCGGGTGGATCACGAGGTCAAGAGATCGAGACCATCCTGGTCAACATGGTGAAACACCGTCTCTACTAAAAATACAAAAAATTAGCTGGGCATGGTGGCGCGTGCCTGTAATCCCAGCTACTCAGGAGGCTGAGGCAGGAGAATTGCCTGAACCCAGGAGACGGAGGTTGCGGTGAGCCGAGATCGCGCCATTGCCCTCCAGCCTGGGTAAAAAGAGCGAAAATCCCTCTCTCAAAAAAAAAAAAAAAAAAAGAGTTGTGATGTCACCTGAGGGAGCCAGGATGGGTTCTGAGCTACTTAAAAGAGAGGTTTGCCAGGCACAGTGGCTCATGCCTGTAATCCCAGCACTTTGGGAGGTTGAGGCAGACAGATCACGAGGTCAAGAGATCAAGACCATCCTGGCCAACATGGTGAATCCAGTCTCTACTAAAAATACAAAAATTAGCTGGCTGTGGTGGTGTGCACCTATAGTCCCAGCTACTCTGGAGGATGAGACAGAATTGCTTCAACTCTGGAGGCAGAGGTTGCAGTGAGCTGAGATCACGCCACTGCACTCCGGCCTGGCGACAGAGCAAGACTTCGTCTCAAAGAATAAAAAAAGAGGTTTCTGAGTTTGCACTAAATAAAGGGCGCAGAGGGTCAGATGTGAAGGGAAAAGAACCTTAGAGACTCCTTTGACACAGGAATGAACACATCTCCCCTCCCCCACCCCATTACTATCAACTTTGCTTTTCTCCCTGGCCTTCTTTTCTGTCCTCTTCTTTTCTCCCTCTTCCCATCACAGAGCCCTGTGAGCTGTCCACTAACTGACCTGTAACTTCATCTAAGTCCCCAGACGGGTACAGTGGGAGCTGAGTTGTTGGAGGGAGAAGCTGGAGACTTCCAACTCCCATTTAAGATAATAAAGATGATTTTTCAATCCTCATTCTGGGGTTTGTCTCCAGACGTCATTCCTACTCTTCCCATTTCAACACTCCCCCTGGATCCTCTACCACCTAAACCCCCAGCTGGACGGCGTCAGGAAGAACAGAGTGGCAGTAACTCTCACTTTGTAGTGGTATATTTAGGAATTGGTGTGACACAGTCATTTATTGCTGAGTGAGTAGACCCCTAGCCCCCAAGTGGGGACTACAAGCTCCAGCGCTTCCCCCACACTGCCTGAGGTACCAGCCCTTCTGCATTGGCCCTCCTGCCAATACTGCCTGCACTGTCCCCACTCCCTCTTGCTCCCATGATCACCAGATCCGCCCTCAGGCTCCTTGTCACCTGTGGAGCCCTATACAGACCCCCTAATCCACTTGCCTAGCAGCTCCACTCTTCCCTCGATGGCTCAGATCCCGAGATCCAAGGAGTACCTTAGGTGTCCCAACCATTCTCTTACTGCAGAGGTCTGTCTATCCTGCCCTGCTCTCCTCCACCGCAGGAGAGTTTTGAAAGGTAGAGAGGACCCTTTGGTCTTTATTCTTTACCACCACACTTTTTTTTTTTTTTTTTTTTTTTCTTTTAAAAAGTGGAGGTGGAAAGAAAAAACTGAAGGTGGGAGAAATGTAAAATCAAAAAGTAGTAACAGCTGGTGAATCCAAGGGCAATGCCCTCACTGTCCATACACAAACACACTAAATAGCTGTTCTCTCCTGTGTATAAAGGGGGGCCCGCATCCTCATACTCTGGGGTTTCTTCCCCATCCCTGAGATCCCTATGCTTACAGTCTGGGTCATGCTCCACACTTTTCTCCTAAAGCCCACACTATCTTCACCCTTTGCCCCCACCCCACCCCACGATCACAGCCCCTTTCCTGGGTCTCCCCTCTGCTCCTCCCCCTTCCCCTCCAACCCCTTACTCTCCCAGTCAGTGGCCTCCTCATCCCCACTGGGCTCCCGGAGGCTGACAGCCAGTACCAGGGCCTGTAGGAGACCAAAGAGGCAAGCAAAGTGCAAAGGGTGGGCAGTAAGTAGGCTCAGAACAGCGTGGAGCCCATGCAGGGCAGCCAGGAAGGACAGTAGGCCATGTAGCCAGAGGCCCAGCGGTCCACGCAGGCCCAGTGTGTCCAAGGCTGCCCGCAGTGGTCGTGAGCACAAGGCCAGCAGGGCAGAAGCCAGTAGCTCCAGCAGATGCAGGGTCAGATTGGTGGAGATCTGCAGACACTCCTCTGGGCCCCCCAAGTACCGGGAGGGAGCTCCTGGTTCCCCATGCAGCCAGCCCAATAGCTTCTGATGCCTGCCAGGTTTCTCCACTGGGGCTCCTGGCCCAGGGACGCTCAATCCCCCTTCAGGGGACACCCCTGATCTCCTGGTGCCACCTGAATCCAGATGATCCCATCCGAGTTTGGGAATGGCCCCTCCAGCCTCCAGTCTCCCAGACTCTTGAGTGCTAGAGACAGGCTGGTCCCACTTGAGGGAATCCATTGTTTTGCTACCTAGCTGCTCAGCTTGGAGCTCACTGCTTGGTTTGGAAGCAGCTCTAGAAACCCTCAATGCCTCTGAGTCCTTGGCCTTGGGAGGCCCCACATCTCCCATGGTTTCTGGGGCACTATCCCAGTCACTTCCTGAATTCTCAGGAGAGCTGTCCACCCGTCTGGGTTCTGGATCAGGTGGGTCAGGCCTCATTGGTTTCCGGCGGCCCCAGGGGCGAGGTAGCCAGCCACCAAGCCGTCGCAGGAACATGGTTGGGGTGTGTGATGGGCCCCTAAATTCTGAAGCTGCTTCCTGGTATTGCTCAGACTCTCAGGATCTCCTCAGAAGGCAGAGTCTTTCTGGCTCAGAGCAGGTATTTGCCTGGTGATGCAGTGGTACTCTGAATTCAGAAGTCGCTCCTCCCTTCTCTGAAGGGTCATGCAGCCTCAAGTGTGGCAAGTGGTTTGCTTCCTCTTCAGTTTTGGGATAAAGGGAGGCACACCCAAATTCATTCACCATCCACACCCCCACAAACAAGATTCCAAGAGTCTCAGATCTGACGGGCCTGGGTCACCACCAGTGTCCTCTGTTTCCGGATTTCCTTCCCAGCAGGCAGCACCCCAAGTTTCACTCACCAAGGCCACGCCCCAAGGTGCCCCAGAAACTGGGGAGGCAGTGCTTCATCCAAGAAAGCAGGCAGGAAGGTGGACCCAAGTTCTAGGTACTCCTGGATCGTGTAGTTTTTAACTGCTGCCCCAAGGGACCTCGTGGAATAGGAATTCTCTTTGTTGGGAGGTGGAATAAAGTGTCCAGCAAACTCCAGCCAGCAGCGTTCGTCTCTTGATTTAGAGGGCTATGATTTCTACAAAGTGGCCCGATTGGCCCGCGAACACGCAGCAGAGACGCGACCTCCGCAAGGTCAGAACTAAGATGTCCTCGGAGATCCCAGTCGCTAGACAAAGCACGAGCCTACCTGGGGAACCCACGCATCCGGGTGATGTGCGCAGGGACTGCTCCCGGGCCCAGCGTTGGGGCCGCGGCCTCGCGGAGCCGCCGGGAACCGTGGAGCCCGGAAGCAGCTGCACCGGGACGGGAAGGACCCGCGGGGGCGGTGCCGCAGCTCATGGGGCGGACCCTGTGGATCGACCGCCCCGTGTCACTGCACCGTCCGTGCGCGCCGGACCGCGGGGTGCCAAGCTATAAGCAAGGGCCGGGCCCTGAATATAAACCCAGCTCTCCATTTTCCTGGGTCTCCCATGCGCCCCTAAACTCGGTCGCCCCCCTACCCCTGGGCTCTTTTTCACATCCCTACCACTCCTCCATTTCACATACAAAACTTCATGAAAGGCTTTCCCAGAATGGAAAAAATGAGAGAAGTCTTGCAAACCGAACAGCCCTCCCCTGCCCCTCTCTGCAAATTTTAATTCCTAGGTTTCACAACAGTGAGCTCTTCCTGTGCCTAGTACCTGGCACGAGCAAGACAAGGGTGTGGTGGTGGGAGGGTGGGGAAGTATGGAAAAGTGTAGACAAATAGGTGGAATGAAAAACCTTGACTTAAAGTTTATATTTGGAGGCCAGAGTTCTGGTCCCAGTTCAACTAAGTGTACAAGCTTGATAATCGTGGGCCTTCCTATCACACTGACCTCTTCCAGCAAAACCCTACCCATTCTCTTCTCTAGGTGCCTTCTCTGACATCCCCTATCATCCTGTATAATATTTGATCACATGGCTGTTTCCCCTTCCAGTTGTGAACTCCTTGAGGGTTGGGAATGTCTTTACCTATATTATTTGCACATAGTATATGGACTTATGTTTGTAAAATTTGTCAACTGGCTGGAGTAGCCAGGGAACTCTTCCTGGGGGAGGTGAGACTTGCATGGAGCTCAGCAATTCCTGGTCCAGGGCAGGTTGAAAGAACAGGTGGGGCACTCCCAGGAGGGGCTAGGACCTGAAAGTAAATCCAGTCTGGCAGGGAGGGAGGTGACCTTAACACACCACCTGGAAAGGCTGCCCCTTCTGGCTCAGGTGGGACTTGCATGTGGCTCCCAGGCTTGTTCGGCTTCCTCAAAACAGCTTCCAAAAAGTGAATAAACCACAAAAGGTTGATTTATTTCTCACTCTCAGCCCGCCTCTTGCAAAGGCAGAGCCCACTGACCAAAACCCAAGGGTCTGCACCAGGGCAGATCCCAGGAAGTAGAAGTCAAAGGGCCCAGGTCAGAGGCCCAAGTTCAGACTTCAGCAGACCAGGGTCAGACTTTACCAAATTCAGAACTCAAGGTTCATGTAAGTCCTTAGATCCCGCTCCCAAGCCCTATCTTTCTCCTCCCTCCTACTCTCCTCCCTCCTGCTCAGTGTGGCCACCCGAGGAGCTCTCTCCCTCCCAGCCACAGCTCGGGTATCCCAAGCTGGGAAATGTGTTACTCGGGGCTGGGGTGCTGATCTGTAGCCTAGTCCTTCCTGGTCCCTCTTGAGGACAGTGGGGATGGGGTTGGCACGGCCCTCGCCCCGGGGTCCAAGCCCCATTCCTGGCTCCCAGCCCCCCCTCAGCAGCAGTTTGAAGCCTGGGCTGGAGACGGGCACCCCAAGTGGAAGGTTGGGTGGCCGAGGACCCTGGGACAGTGACAGCAGGTGAGCAGTGGATGTGTGATGGTTGGAGTCTTGGAAGTGGGTGTCACAGGTCTCGCAGTACTGGAGGGTAGGAGTGGGAGACCTGCAGATAAAGAAGAAAAAGCATTAAGGGCAGGGGAAGGAAAAGGGGCTGGCAGGGTGGGACAGGAGCCTTTCAGCTTTTCTAAGGAACAAATTGCTGGCTGGCAACAGTGACTCACCCCTGTAATCCCAACACTTTGGGAGGCAGAAGTGGGCAGATTGCTTTGAGCTCAGGAGTTTGAGACCAGCCTGGGCAAAGCCTGCTGTTTTTTTTTTTTTTTTTTTTTTTTTTTTGAGGTGGAGTCTGACTCTGCTGCCCAGGATGGAGTGCAGTGGTGCAATCTGGGCTCACTGCAACCTCCAACTCCCGGGTTCAAGTGATTCTCCTGCCTCAGCCTCTCAAGTAGCTGGGATTACAGGTATGTGCCACCAGGCTCTGGCAAAGCCCACCTTCTACAAAAAATATGCTTGAGCCCGGGAAATAGAGGTTGCAATGAGCTGAGATTGCACCACTGCACCCCAACCTGGGCAACAGTGAGTCCTTGTCTCAAAAAAAAAAAAAAAAAGGAACTGCCATCCTTCTTTCTTAACAATGAGGGATCCAGGCTAATCCAAAGGTGATGAATTATCTGAACTGATTGTTCAGTGATAGATCAAACTCCTTACTATACTTTTCCCCCCTTCTCACTACTGCACTTATCTTAAAAAAAAATTTTTGGCCGGGCGCGGTGGTTCACGCCTCTAATCCCAGCACTTTGGGAGGCTGAGGCGGGTGGGATCACGAGGTCAAGAGATTGAGACCATCCTGGTCAACATGGTGAAACCCCGTCTCTACTAAAAATACAAAACATTAGCTGGGCATGGTGGTGCGTGCCTGTAATCCCAGCTACTCAGGAGGCTGAGGCAGGAGAATTGCCTGAACCCAGGAGGCGGAGGTTGTGGTGAGCCGAGATTGCGCCATTGCACTCCAGCCTGGGTAACAAGAGCGAAACTCCGTCTCAAAAAAAAAAAATAAAATAAAATAAAATACAAAAAATTAGCTGGGCATGGTGGCGCATGCCTGTAATCCCAGCTACTCAGGAGGCTGAGGCAGGAGAATCGCCTGAACCCAGGAGGGGGAGGTTGCGGTGAGCCGAGATCGCGCCATTGCACTCCAGCCTGTGTAACAAGAGTGAAACTCCGTCTCAAAAAAAAAAAAAAAATTTTTTTTAAACCATCTGGGACTCAGAGCAGAATAGTTATAAGAAAAAAATGGTAACCAGGCCTAGCAAGCTCTTTGGCAAGCGGAGGAATACTAGTAATAAGTAATGACTACAGCTAACATTCATATATCGCATATTATGTGGCATGCACTATTCTAGCATTTTACATGTATTTTTTTTCTTTTCTTTTTTTTTTTTTAGAGATGGGGGTCTCGCTATGTTGCCCAAGCTGGAGTGCAGTGGTTATTTACAGGCGCAATCCCACTACTGATCAGCACGGGAGTTTTGACCTGCTCTGTTTCCAACCTGGGCCGGTTCACCCTCCTTGGGCAACCTGGTGGTCCCCCGCTCCCAGGAGGTCACCATATTGATGCTGAGCTTAGTGAGGACACCCAAGTGGCATAGCACACTACAGCCTAGAACTCCTGGACTCAGGAGATCCTCCAGCCTCAGCATCCCGAACAGCTGCGACTACAGGCACGCACCACCGTGTCCAGCATTTTACATGTATTAACCCACTAAATACTAACAACAATCCTTACTACCCCCATTTCTAAGATGAGAAAACTGGGACATGTAGACATTAGGTTGTTTGCCCAAGTGGAATCAGGCTTTAAATCCAGGGAGCTGCTGGGCATGGTAGCTCATGCCTATAATCCCAGCACTTTGGGAGGCCGAGTCAGATGGATCACCTGAGGTCAGGAGTTCATGACCAGCCTGACCAACATGGAAAAACCCTGTCTCTACTAAAAAGTACAGAATTAGCCAGGTGTGGTGGAGCATGCCTGTAATCCCAGCTATTCGGAGGCTGAGGCAGGAGAATCGCTTGAACCCAGGAGGCAGAGGTTGCGGTGTGCCGAGATCACTGGGCAACAAGAGCGAAACTCTGTCTCAAAAAAGTAATAAAATAAATCAATCCAGGGAGCTCACATTCATAACCACTTGACTATACCACCATGACAATTTACACATGAGCATAAGGAAAGAACTCCTCAGCACTGCGCTGGGGCCTCTGGTGTGGAGTGGCTGGGAAAGGCAGAACACACTGAAACATGGGTCTGAACTAAAGTTTCTCCTCACCGGTTCTCTGTGGTCCTTGTCTCTCCATGGCTCTCCCTGACCATGCGAGCCACCTCAGGGAAACCAGCTTCTTCAGCGAGCTGAGCCGCATCCCTGCCCCCTAGTTCACAGACCCCCACCCAGGCAGCCCCACGGCCCAGGAGATAGCTCACAGCTGCCCGCTGGCCAGCTCGAGCAGCGCACATCAGTGGAGTCCACCAGAAGGCATCCCGAGCATTGATATTCCCCCCAGCTCCTCCTGCCTCATGGGGCTCCAGCAGTCTCCTAAGTTCTGCTAGGTCCCCCTCCTGGGCTGCCCGCAGTATCTGCTGAGTCATCTTGTCCTCAGCCTCAAGGGATCTTCCTTGTCCATGTCTTCCTGATGGTCCTGCTGCCACTGCTTCTGTTGCAGCTGCCCTCATTATTCTTCTTTTCTTTCTCTTTCTTTCTCTGGCAGGTTCAGTCTGAGATCTCTGGGAGTCAGGAGCACTGCTCTCATCCCCAATCAGGGCCTCATAGAAAGCTCGGACTGCAGCCCCATCGAGGGTGGACTCTGGCTCCTCGGACTGTGGCTGCTGCTGCTGCTGCTGCTGCCCATCCCTCCAGAGGTCGCTGGGGTCAGTGGCTGGGGTGAAGGTGATGAGGAAGGGCCGGGACATGGCTTTTGGGAGAAATGAGAAAATGAAACCAGGCAAGGAAAGGATGACACAAGCAAGCCAAGCTACTGGTGACCCCTGTAGCAACCAGAGCCTCCAGAGAAATGCTGGGATGAGAAAAACTAGTCAAAAACACCCTCCTGCCGCTAAAGTGACCCCACAACTTAGGACCCCGCAGGGCCTAAGGGAAAGAGGTTATGTGTAAAAACACGGAAACCTAAAATAACTGACTCTGCTCCTTAGCAAAGGTTAATAAAACTCCATGAGACAGTTGTCCAGAGGTCCTGCGTCCCGCCCCCACCCTCATCCTCACCAACAATAAATACCAGCCTCTTTCTGAAACCATTTTACCACCCCGTAAAACACACATACCATTAAGAAAAAAATCAGTCTGTCCCTTTAAATCCTCCTCGATACCATTTTGGAGTTTCCTCCGAAATAGAAGTCACTACCTAGGAAGATCTCGAGGAGAGGCTCCAGTCTGCGTTGCTGTGTAGCTTCCGTACGGCAAAATGGCGCTATTCTGATCAGAATAGTTGACACATGACACAATCAAATAGCCACACGGCACGAAGACGCATGCGTGGCGACGACAACCACAACAAAAACCACAACCCACATTACTTGAGCGCTCAGGCGTGCGCAAAGCTCCCAGTTCAGTTTCCCGCGCTGGAACCTTTCCAATAGCAAACGCGCAAAGCTCTGCGCGCCCAGCTGGCGCGAGCACCAGGATCTGTCGGTTGGGGTCCTACTTTTACCTAACGCCCCCACAATGCCCTTCGCCTTCCTTAACGCGGCCCCCCGCTCCAAGCCCATTTTCTGGAGCTGGGAATCCACTCTCCGGGTTAGGAAAGGCCCTCAGGAGGCGGAGGGAAACCTGTGGAATGCCGAGAAGCCGAGAAATGAAATAACGTCACGCCTGCCCCTCACCATTACTCTGACCAGGGTTCTAAGGTCACATTTAGAGAGTAGGAGAAAATGGAGACGTGCAAGGGGACGAGCAGAATGGCTGGCGCCACCTCAGGTTAGCGCACTGCGCCGTTCTGGTTCTCACAACGCTCAGCTCAGCCCAGCCCACCCAACCCAAGTCCCTACGCACGGAACCAAACCGCACCTCTCGCCTCATGAGGCCAGAGCCGGGGGAGAAGCGAGGCCAGTCAAGGGTGTCCGGCGGGACTGACTCGCACTAGGGGCTCAACAGGCAATAAGGACCCAGTGGATTGCCGGGGATGGGCCAGTCCCCTGGGCAGCAGCGCCGCGCCCCGCCGTAACTAGAGGGGAACTGTGAGGAGAGCTGTGGGGAGGGGTCCTGCGTGGCTCCCTCCTTTCCCCGCCCCATCCCGGCTTTTTCGCCCAGTGAGCACACAACTGTATTTCCCAGGCTCCCTGGCCCCAAACGCCTTACCTGGCTTCCGCTTCCGGTGGCTTCTTGCTGCGCCCCGCCCGCAAACAGTCTCCTCCCCGGCTTCGTGACAGCCAGGTCGTGCGCGGGCCATCCTGGGATTGGTAGTTCGCTTTTCCTTCATTTCATCAGTTTCTCTTTCTACCTGGGACTCCGCATCCCGGCATCCACCGCGGCACCTGACCCTTGGCGCTTGCGTGTTGCCCTCTTCCCCACCCTCCCCAATTTCCCCCCCCCCCCCCCACCCCACTTCGCTTGCCGCGGTTGAGTCCGCGGCCTGCGCTGTAGCGGTCGTCGCCGTTCTTTGGAAGTAGCAACTTCCCTACCCCACCCCAGCCCCTCGTTCCCGTCCAGCCGGTGAGTCTGAGGTCGTCGCTGCTCAGAGTCTCTTGTCGTTGGGAGCAGCACATGGGGTCTCCTCACTTTGATGTGGGGGCGGGGGAGGAAGCGACCAGGTCCGGCACAAAAGAGGGAGAGGTGGCCTGAGGAGCGGAGGCGGGATGTGTGGACTCCAGTGAAAGGGACCTGACGGTCGCCCCCAGCCTATAAGAAAAGGAGGGGCCCGGCTCTTGCTTGAGAATGATAAACTTCGAAACCCTTAGGAAAGGCGCTGGGGTCATGCAGAGAGCTGCAGTGGTAGGGAGCCTGAGCCGAGGTCCGTGCTGGAGTTGACACAAAGTAGAGAGGGCCCTGGCCTTCGGGAGCTCCAGGGATGTGGGTCAGGCTGGTGGGTCAAAGTATCTGTTGGCTTCTCTCAAGTGGTGGGACTCCAAAGTATGTTTAACTTCAAAGAAAAGGAGCTGAGATGTAAATGAGAGGAGCTGGTGAGGAGTGCTTCAGAGTTTGGGATCCTTTAAAAAAGGGTGGCTGCAAATTCTAAATTCTCCCGTGGTTGGAGGGCCGAATGTGGGAGGAGGGAGGATACCTGAGGCAAAGAGGGAGAACTTGAGCTTTACTGACACTCTTCGTTTTCCAGCTGACGTGAAGATGAGCAGCTCAGAGGAGGTGTCCTGGATTTCCTGGTTCTGTGGGCTCCGTGGCAATGAATTCTTCTGTGAAGTGAGTTCTCTTCAACCTCCCTACTTGCCAGCTCCACATACATTCCCACTAGACGTTTCTCCACATATTCCACTTCTACACCATTCTCTTATATGCTACTTGAAAACTTCCCATCAATGAAGAGTCCCCTCAGTAACCCCCGACAAACCTGTGCTAAAGTGGCAAAACTGGGGCCTGTCCCAACTCTGCCACCCTGCAGCAATATAACGTTGGACTAGACAATTTGTGTCCTTTTCTTTTTCTTTTCTTTTTTTTTATTTTTGAAACCGAGTCTTGTTCTGTCACTCAGGCTGGAGTGTAGTGGTGTGATCTCACCTCACTGCAACCTCTGCTTTCCAGGTTCAAGTGATTCTCCTGCTCTAGCCTCCCAAGTAGCTGGGATTACAAGTGCCTGCCACCACGCCCAGCTAATTTTGTATTATTATTTTTTTTTAATTTATTGCTACCCCTCCCCTCCCCTAATTTTGTATTTTTAGTAGAGACAGGGTTTCACCAGGTTGCCCAAGCTGGTCTCGAACTCCAGACTTTAGGTGATCTGCCCGCCTTGGCCTCCCAAAGTGCCGTGATTACAGGCATGAGCCACTGCACCCAGCCTGTGTCTTTTATTACTAAAGTGGCACTGCTAGTACCTGTCTCAGGTGGCCGTTAGAAGAATTGATATGCTACGTATCCAAATCTTTTGTTCAGAAACCATGCCATTCAGCTTCCACCTTCCTTAGCCAGCTGAGAGGACAAAACTGGTTCCCAGAGTTGGGGGACAAGAATAAGGATAGAGATCTGGAAAAGAATATCTAAGAAAAAGATTGCTGTGCTTGCTTATCCTTAGAAAACAAAAGCCAAAGCTTTTATGGGAGGGAGTATAGGTGAACTGAGGAGAGATGCAAGTACTTCTGCTAAGCTTCAAGTGAGAAACAAGGGGGAACAGATGTAGTTATGTTGATAACAAGGCATCAGTTAGAGCATTTTGCCCACGTTAAAGATGGAGATTTTGATATGGGTTCCCTCTTGGCTTCCATATCCTGACAGGTGGATGAAGACTACATCCAGGACAAATTTAATCTTACTGGACTCAATGAGCAGGTCCCTCACTATCGACAAGCTCTAGATATGATCTTGGACCTGGAGCCTGGTGAGGCACCCTCAGGGTTGTTTTGTGTGTGTGCGTGCACTTTTTTTTCTCTTCAAATTCCTATTCACTTGCTTGAATTTTGAAATTTCCTTTGGTTCTCTGATTTTCTTAACCCCAAATTCATGCTTTATTTTGATCCTCCACCTGACTCTTGTCTAGTTTTGTGACGTGTATCACTTGTTCCTGTGCGTTTTAAATCCACAGTTTGGATCTATTCCAAAATGGGTTTCCTCATGGGTCTCATTTGCTGTCTATTTCTCCTACCTTGGACCTTCCAGTCTGGAGTTTGATCTTCTGCATTGATATTGTTGCATTTATGTATTGAGGAGGGAGCTGGGAGGGAGAGGAGAGGAGAGGGCAGAGGCTGACGAGGTGTGAAGAGAAGGCAGAGCTCTGCCTTGGGCTGGTGAAAGCGTCAGAAGCCCAGGTTTCTCAATCACATGCCCAGGTGTTGGATAGGGTAAGGCTCAAAAGTAGGTGCTAGGCAAACTGAATAGCTGGCAGCCCCTGGGTATGGGCAGGGCACCTAGGAAAGCTGAAAAACAAGTGGTTGCATTTGGCTGGGCTGTGTTTCAGATGAAGAACTGGAAGACAACCCCAACCAGAGTGACTTGATTGAGCAGGCAGCCGAGATGCTTTATGGATTGATCCACGCCCGCTACATCCTTACCAACCGTGGCATCGCCCAGATGGTGAGGCCTCTCTGCTCCCACTTGCCTCTTTCTGAGCAGTAAGAGAAACAGGTTCCTGCAGCAAGAAGTCATGTTTCAGCCCAGTTAAGGAAACTAGCTGAGAAGAGGGGAAGAACCCCAGAACTTGGGCTTGTGAATTTAATCCTGATTGGGGGTCATTCTGAAGGGATTGTTTTCAGGGAGGGAGACAGACCTTGAACAGAGAGTTGTTATAGATTGGCTTTTCTCAAGGAACAAACAGTGAATGGCTCTGATGGTTTGTTGCCTGCCTAACTGGAAGAAAAGCAACATAAGAGTTTGAGAGGGCCGGGCGCGGTGGCTCACGCCTGTAATCCCAGCACTTTGGGAGGCCAAGGCGGGCGGATCACGAGGTCAAGAAATCGAGACCATCCTGGTCAACGTGGTGAAACCCCGTCTCTACTAAAAATACAAAAAATTAGCTGGGCATGGTGGCGCATGCCTGTAATCCCAGGTACTCAGGAGGCTGAGGCAGGAGAATTGCCTGAACCCGGGAGGCGGAGGTTGCGGTGAGCCGAGATCGTGCCATTGCACTCCAGCCTGGGTAACAAGAGCGAAACTCCGTCTCAAAAAAAAAAAAAAGAGTTTGAGAGCCCATCTGGGCCAGAGAAGGGGCCTCTGGACAGAGGTGGGAGGAGTGGGGGACAAAGTGATGTGGGTTGGGCTGAGAAGGGAGTTGCCTCTTCTCTTAACACCTACCTGCCAACCCCTTCCATTTTATTCATCTCAGTTGGAAAAGTACCAGCAGGGAGACTTTGGCTACTGTCCCCGTGTGTACTGTGAGAACCAGCCAATGCTTCCCATTGGTGAGTGTTGAAGCAGGGAAAGGAAGGCACTATGTGACAGTCTTATGGAAAGGAGTTGGGGCCTGAGTCCTGAGGGGAGGTGAGGGTGGGAAAGGGGGGCTACCTGGCCTGCTGAGTCTGGCTGTCTCCCAGGCCTTTCAGATATCCCAGGTGAAGCCATGGTGAAGCTCTACTGCCCCAAGTGCATGGATGTATACACACCCAAGTCATCGCGGCACCATCACACGGATGGCGCCTATTTTGGCACTGGTTTCCCTCACATGCTCTTCATGGTGCATCCTGAGTACCGGCCCAAACGACCTGCCAACCAGTTTGTGCCCAGGTAGGGAGCAGGGAGAGTTATTAAGGGTCAAAGGAAAGGCCTAAGATCCTCTAGAGAGAAGGGCGGACGAAGCATGTCCCTTTCTTGAGGCCTGCTTCTCCCAGAATCAGGATATCTCCCTGCTAAGTGACTGGTGGGAAAGTTATTTGATTGTCTGTGCTTTAGTTACCTTATCATAGAATGTTCTTGAGCTGAGAAGTTGGGAACCACTAGGCTTAAGCTCTGAACAGGTCCATGTAGGAGCTCGGGTGGGAATGTGGGAATGCAGGTCACTGGCAGGGCTTGGATGGGGCTCATACTGCTGCCTCTGACCTCTGCCCTGGCCCAGGCTCTACGGTTTCAAGATCCATCCGATGGCCTACCAACTGCAGCTCCAAGCCGCCAGCAACTTCAAGAGCCCAGTCAAGACGATTCGCTGATTCCTCACCCCACCTGTCCTGCAGTCTTTGACACTTCCTTTCCTTTTTACCACCGTTTCAGGAACCCTGTATGGTTTTTAGTTTAAATTAAAGGAGTCATTATTGTGGTGGGAATATGAAATAAAGTGGAAGAAAAGGCCATGAGCTAGTCTGCTGGTGCTTGTGGTTGGGGAAGGGAAGGTGATGGTATATTGGACTTCAGGGCCCTCATGGCCCAGCCCACCCTCTCCAGATTGAAAACCAGGACAGATTTGTGCTGAGTAGATTCGGTGATGTTTTTAGTATAGAACAGAATTCCTAGGACGGCATGTGATGAAGGGCAAGGTCAAAAGGAAAAGATAGAAAAAGCATGTTTCAAAGATGAAAAGTATTTGTTTGGATACCTGTGACTGTCTGTTTATGTAAGGGACTTAATCAGCAACTCCATCTATTTTTTGAGATGGAGTTTTGCTCTCGTTGCCCAGGCTGGAGTGCAGTGGCTCAATCTCAGCTCACTGCAACCTCTGCCTCCCAGGTTCAAGCCTCAGCCTTCCAAGTAGCTGGAAGTACAGGCATGGGCCACTAAGCCCGGCTAATTTTGTATTTTTTAAGTAGAAACGGGGTTTCTCCATGTTGGTCTCAAACTCCTGACCTCAGGTGATCTGCCCGCCTTGGCCTCCCAAAGTGCTGGGATTATTAGGTGTGAGCCACTGTGCCCGGCCTAGTTTTGGTTTTAAAGTAAAAGTAGCCCTAAAGTCAGTATAACTAAAGGGTGGAACGAGGCGGGACAAGGTCTAGAATTGCTGCTCAGTGATGTCTGTGTGCCTCCTGTTGGGGGAGCTGAGACTGTGGATGGTTGGTTTCCTGGCTAGTTTCTCCCAGCACAGTGGGGACTGGCTCTGTTGTATAAGGAAGACAGCACATAGTGGCAGAGATAGACTCTAACCCATGGACTTTCCATGGGAGGGAATAGGCCTTTGGAGGGTATGCAGGACCAAGGTAGACACTGGATAAAGAACCAGGTAGTTCCCAAGTGTTGCCCCATCTGGGACATTGCTCCCACACTCAGGAACCAGACCTTGTGGGTGAGAACACACTGTCCCTCCTGCCAAATTAATAACTTCCTCCCCAGCCAGAATCCTGCAGCAGGCAGGCATATAGCTCTGCACTTACAGTAGCTCCTGCTCAGACGTTGTCAAAACCACCCTGCAGCTCAGGATTAAGGAGCGTGGTCACAGGAAGGTGGGGTTTCAGGGCATCCCTCAGAAACTGCCCATCTCCCCAGAATTCCAAAATGAAGGCCCATGTGCTTGTAGGTGTGCTGGTCATGGTGGGCCTCGCAGTGGGAAAGGGTAAGTGGGGCCCACGGGCAGGGAGGGAGGGAGGGGTAACTGAGTCTAGGGTGGGGGTGGAGCTTGGCCATGGATACTTGGGCTTCCTACTGGCCAGGGTATTTGAGAGAGAGCCAGTGCTCCCATCCATCCTTTCTTCTGCCTCCCTAGTTCCTGTTCCCGACATCCGGACCTGCCACTTCTGCCTCTTAGAAGACCCTTCTGTAGGATGCATTTCAGGCTCAGAGAAGTGTACCATCAGCAGCTCATCCCCATGCATGGTGATCACCATCTATTATGGTAAATAAGCTCCCAGGAAGGGGCTGCTAGTGGGGCAGCCAATGGCTTGGTCTCCTCTCCTCTCACAGATCAGGGCTGCTCCAGGTGTGGGGTACAAGAAGAGAGAAGGGGCCAAGCATGGTGGCTCATGCCTGTAACCCTAGCACTTTGGGAGGCTGAGGCAGGTGGATCACTTAAGCTCTGGAGTTCAAGACCAGCCTAGGCAACATAGTGAGACCCTGTCTCTACAGAAAAATAGGCATGGTGGTGTGCACCTGTAATCCCAGCTACTCGGGAGGTTGAGGTGAGAGGATCTCCTGAACCCAGGAGGCAGAGGTTGCAGTGAGCCGAGATTGCACCACTGCATGCCAGCGTGGGTGACAAAGCGAGACCCTGTCTCAAAAAAATAAAAAAGAAGAGAGAAGCATCTTGGAAGGAGGGGTCTAAGGTTCTAGAGGGCCAGCAGAGCTCACTTTTCTAGCTTTTTTTGAAGGAGTGGGGGTTAGAAGTCAGTAGGTCTGGGTAAGAGATGGGGAAAGTCAGTGACTGACGTTTGTGGACTATAGGAAACTATTGGAAGAGGTTATCAGCTTTCCCCTCTCCCTCAGATGTCAAGGTTCGCTTCATCGTTCGAGGCTGTGGACAGTACAATTCCTACCGCTGCCAAGAAAAACGCAACACCTACTTCGCAGAGTACTGGTATCAGGCCCAGTGCTGCCAGTATGATTATTGCAACTCCTGGTCAAGCCCGCAGCTCCAGAGTTCCCAGTGGGAGCCCCGTGACAGACCCCTGGCCCTGCCTCTGTCTGACTGGCAGATTCAGTGGTTCTACCAGGCCCTGAACCTCTCACTGCCCCTCCCCAGTTTCCATGCTGGGAAGGAGCCTGATGGCCTGGACCCCGTGGCCAAACTGCCCCTGATTCTGGGCTTGTCGTTTGCTGACCTGCGCCGCATGTATTTGTTCCTCAATAGTTCAGGACTTTTGGTTCTTCCCCAGGCTGGACTCTTGACACCTCACCCTTCCTGAATTCCACTCTGTGCAAGTGTCTCTCTCTGTCACCCTCAGCATGCTGCACTCCCCTCTCTGAAAACACCCATCTACTTTGGTCAGTGATTTCTTAGGCCTCCCTTGGTTGTACCACCAGCATCTATATGCCTTTGGTGTAATTTCTCTCTTGAACACTGGTACTATTCTTCCTCCTAGAAAATAATCTCTAGTGTGGATTCTGCCCAGACAGGCTGACCTGGGAAAGTCACAGTGGATCCTCCATTCCTTCTCCATTATGAGTGTTCCAGTATCCCCCATCCCTCTCAATCTGGTCACTTGCCTATTTAGATCTAGCTCTTTTTCCTCTGTCTTGTCCCTGTCTCTTAAGACCCACTACCAGACTGAACTTGCAGCAAGAAGGATAAGGAGGCCAGGCACGGTGGCTCACGCCTGTAATCCCAGCACTTTGAGAAGCTGAGGCGGGTGAATCACTTGAGGTGGGGAGTTTGAGACCAACCCGGCCAACATGGTAAAACCTTGTCTCTAGTAAAAATACAAAAATTAACCGGGTGTGGTGGCGCACCTCTCTAATCCCTGAGTAGGATGCTACTCAGGATGCTGAGGTAGAAGAATTGCTTGAACCTGGGAGGCAGAGATTGCAGTGAGCCGAGATCACATCCCTGCACTCCAGCCTAGACAACAGAGTGAGACTGTCAAAAAAAAGGATGAGGAAGAATAGAATTCTATGCAGGTGTCCTAACTTGGCAATCTTGTGTCCCTGCCTCACTGTCTCTACCACCCCCCTTTTGTCCTGGTCTTTTCTCTCTTCTGTCCTCTCTTGTCAGTCTCTGGCCTCGTCAGTCCCCTTTCCCCTCACTGAGTCCTGACACCCACCTCCCTAGGGGCCTGTGAGAGGAGAGGGAAGGGTGTGTCTTGCTCAGCTCCATGTCCCCTGTTTTCCTCCACAATAAACTGGGACTGGGCTAAATCTGTGTCACATTGTTTGTGGGGTCAGGCTCAGGTGTGGGCAAGTATAAACAGGTTAAAGAGGGTTAATGCCAGGTCTGGTGGCTCACGCCTGTAATTCCCAGCACTTTGGGAGGCCAAGGCTGACAGATTACCTGAGGTCGGGAGTTCAAGACCAACCCAAACAACATGGAGAAACCCCGTCTCTACTAAAAATACAAAATTGGCCAGGCGTGGTGGCACAAGCCTGTAATCCCAGCTACTGGGGAGGCTGAGGCAGGAGAATTGCTTGAACCTGGGAGGCAGAGGTTGCAGTGAGCCATTGCACACCAGCCTGGGCAGTAAGAGTGAAACTGCATCTCAAAAAAAAAAAAAAAAGGGGTTAATGAGGTGTGGGATCCAGATAGGGTTGCAGGTCCCTTTCTTTTGTGGCTTCCTTGGCCTCCCCTAAAGGGTACACATCCTTCCCCACCCTCTGCTCAGCTGGAGATCAAAGCATAGGGACTGTGGGTGTTCCCAGCTTTAAACATACCCTACGAAACCTAGAAAGAACATTCAACCCTGAAGATGCCAGGTCTTTTCACTTAAAAGAAATCAGCCAAGCACCATGGCTCATGCCTGTAATCCTAGCACTTGGGAGGCTGAGGTTGGGGGGAGGGGGATCACCTGAGTTCAGGAGTTCCAGACCAACCTGATCAGCATGATGAAACCCCATCTCTAGTTAAAAAAAAAAAAAAAAAAAATTAGCCGGACATGGTGGCGGGCACCTGTAATCCCAGCTACTCCTGAGGCCTGAAAATCACTTGAACCCAGGAGGTGGAGGTTTCAGAGAGCAGAGATTATGCCACTGCACTCTACCCTAGGCAACAAGAATGAAACTCAGTCTCAATCGAAAAAAAAGAAACTTTCTCTAAACCAGGAAGACTCAGGAACTCAGAGCCACATCCCAGAGTCACTTGCTGCTGGGACCCTGGCCTCCTGCCATTCCTTAGTTCTTTTCAAGGATTCTGGCATTTAGGACACCCTCAGGGGTTCCAGGGTTGAGGGGCCAAGTGCAGAGAGCACTCCTTGTGCTGTAGTGGTTGGATATTCATTTTAATATTTTAATTTTGAAATATTGCAAGCATATAGATAGCAGTGGATGGATACAAGTCAGCCTTTTCTATACACTAAATAAACGTACTGGACATACGCTGCTTTGAGTCAGGCTCAGTGTTGAGCGGCAGGATACCCAGATGAGCACAGCCAGGTGTCTGCCCTTCCAAGTCTTTTACCCCAGTGCTGGGGTTATGAAACTTTTTTTTCTGAAAAGCAGTGCAGCTTTGTGGCTGGGAGGCCCAATCCCAGCTCCTTTACCCCTTGGGTAAGTCAGTCTCTTCAGGCTCAATTTGGTTACCTGTCAAGTAGGGATAGCGCCTCAGATGATTGAGAAAACGCGTGTAAATGTGCGTATGTTAAGTGGAAGTTAGCACCTTTTCCCCCTCAAAAAACTGTATTTGCCTTAAGAGTCAAATGCCTACACAATGTTTGGCTTTTTTTCCCCAATGCTCTTGCCATGTTGCCCAAGCTGGCCTTGAACTCCTGGGCGCAAGTGATCCTTCTGTCCCAGCCTCCAAGTAGCTGGGACTGCAGATGCACACCACCATGGCCACCTGGCTGATTTATTTATTTATTTATTTATATATTTATTTATTGGGACGGAGTTTCGCTCTTGTTACCCAGGCTGGAATGCAATGGCGCGATCTCGGCTCACCGCAACCTCCGCCTCCTGGGTTCAGGCAATTCTCCTGCCTCAGCTTCCTGAGTAGCTGGGATTACAGGCACGCACCACCATGCCCAGCTAATTTTTTGTATTTTTAGTAGAGACGGGGTTTCACCGTGTTGACCAGGATGGTCTCGATCTCTTGACCTCGTGATCCGCCCGCCTCGGCCTCCCAAAGTGCTGGGATTACAGGCTTGAGCCACCGCGCCCGGCTGATTTATTTATTTTCAAACCTTTTTGGTGAAACATTAGAAGCTTACACGTATCACAAGATGAATTTTTGTAAACCACATACCTGTGTAACCAGCCACCAAGTCAGCATTAAGACATTTACCCGCAGCCAAGCCTGCCTGTGTATCCCTCCCAGGTGCTTTTCCCAGTTCTCTGGGGCAGCTGCTGTCCTGACTGGTAGCTTAGATGAGTTTTGTCTGTGCTTGATGGAAATGGCATTGTACAGTAACTGTTGTGACCTACGCAGTGTTTTGCACACGTGTTAACAAATCTCTGTGGCCTGTACTCTGACGGAAGACACCAAACCAATGATAATTAGGTCATGAGGCAGTTGGAGTACAAAGGTACAAATCCTTAATGTGCCCCCCAACCCCCACCTTGCTAGGTCCACCCTTCTCCATGACCTCTGACATCAGTATAAGAGAAAGTCCCAGGTTTATACAACTCTAGCAGGTCAACCTGGAAAACACCCTCAGAGGCTGAAGAACTTGGCCCAGAATTGAAGAGACCAAGAGTCCAATCAACCTAATGTCTTTTTGAGAGTAGCATTCTCTGCCCAGGGATGGCTCATGCCTGTAATCCCAGCCCTTTGGGAGGCCAAGGCAGGCAGATCACTTGAGGTCAGGGGTTTGAGACCAGCCTGGTCAATATGAAACCCCATCTCTACTAATAAAATACAAAAAATTAGCCAGCCATGGTGATATGTGCTTGTAATCCCAGCTGCTCAGGAGGCTGAGGCAGAAGAATCGCTTGAACCAGGGAGGCAGAGGCTGCAGTGAGCCGAGTTCACACCACTGCTCTCCAGTCTGGGCGACAGTGAGACTCCATTTCAAAAAAAAAAGAGTGGCCTTTTGGCAGAGAGGTAGGACAATAAAAAAATTTAAAAAAAGAGTGGCCCTCTCGCCCACCTCCTATCTGGGCCTGGTCCTTTTGCAGCCCCCACTCCCACCAACATAGCCCTCTAAACCCTCCAGCCCCCACACAGCTCTGGTCTGAGAGCACTGCCGAGGATGCCCTGACTTTCTGGCATTCACCATAAGAGTGCTTTCATTTCCTCTTCCCCTTTTAGGGTCTAGAGCTGAATCGCATACCAAGGCAGGGCAGGAGCAGAGCTCAGCAGGGCTAGGGGCCCCATACCTGCCCCCATGGTAGGGCAGTCAGGCAGGTGCACCTCCCTCAGCCTTCACCTCCACCAGAAGAAAGAGACAAACCAAACAGTTTGCACACAAATTTATTTTGGAGAAACACCCAGGGACTAGGGACAACAAAGGAAACCTGGGGGGGCGGGACTGGGGGGTGCAGAGTGGGAGTAAGTGTGTTGAAGGGCGTCAACCAAGAGGAAGACCGAGGCTGGGGTCCCGTGACTGGAGGGAGGCAAGGAGAGCTGGTATGAAGGACTAGAAGTCCTGGCCAAGCCCAGACAGAAGTCAGGAAGGTGGCTGGAAACTGGTGGAATGTTATGCCAAAGGTTGTTGCAGTCACTGTAAGGTATAGTGCCCTCTGTTTTGAGGGTCATTGCAGAAATCCAGGAAGCAGCACTGAGAAAATATCCAGAAGCCAGAAACCGGAGAAGTTCGGGTATTTGAACAATCACTCATCTGCTCCTTACTTCGGCAGTCACTCACCATGATGTCAGAACCACTGACTGGGGAAGGACCACAGGCACCAGTGATACAGAGGTCCCCGGAAAGAGCCCCAAATCCTCTCATCCCCTCACTCATAAACCAAAATAAAGAAAAAGAAAAGATTCCTGAGCCAGGCGCGGTGGCTCACGCCTGTAATCCTAGCACTTTGGGAGGCTGAGGTGGATGGATCACCTGATGTCAGGAGTTCAAGACCAGCCTGGCCATCACGGTGAAACCCCATCTTTAAAAAGAAAAGATTCCTGGAGTTAGGCAAAGGTGGAGCTGCCCAGTGTTCACCAGCCGTGGAACTCCATTGAAGTTCCTTCCCATGCAAGGCTGGAGGAAAAGAGCCATTTGAAGTGTATTGGTTGGAGGGAGAGCTGGGACTTACTGAGCCAAGTGGGAAGAACTAGCACCATAGGAGCATGTGAGAAAAAGCTGGGAAATGTTTTGGAGGTTGAGTGGCAGGAAGGAGGTATTTTGTCATTATTTTTCAGACCAAAAGTAAGAATAAGATGATGTCTCCCGCTGTTATACGTAATAGAGAAAAATCTTTGTGCCTACATCCCAAGAAGTCATGTACAGGGATGTTTGCTGCTGCCCTGCTTGAGAGAAATGACCTAAATGCCCATCAATAGTGGGATGGGGAAATCAGCTGTGATATGCCCATGCTATAGGGCAGTACGCAGCAGGTCAATAAAACACAGAAGCTGTTTACAAACTGATGCTATAGGGCAGTACGCAGCAGGTCAATAAAACACGGAAGCTGTTTACAAACTGACATTGAAACATTCAGTTCCCCTGTTAAGCGCAGAATAATGTTTACAATGGGATGCTACTATCTTGGGGGGAAAGAAGAGGTGAAAAAATACTAAACAGCATATTTGTGCAGGGTAGAATGTGCACAAAACATTGCAGGAGGGATCATCCTTTTTTTCTTTTTTTTTAAAGTGGCTTTGTGTGCAGGGGAGCCAGGTGGGTTAGGGTAGTACTGGGAAGGTTTGCATTGATGGTATTGTATACTCTGATATTTGACCCATGTCTGTACATCAGCTATGTTAAAAGGGTAACAAGAGGATTTGAACACAGGCACCTGCATGCAGTGGTGGTTCAGAGCACCGTCTCTGGAGCCATCACAAATCCTGGCTCAGCTTCTGGGAGACTGGGGCAAGGTTATGACCTTTCTGCATCTCTGTTTCCTCATCTGTAAAATGGGGATAGTAATCATACCTGCTTCAGTGGATTGCAAGTGTTTAGAACAGTGCCTGGCACATATAATGTGTTATGTTTTTGCTAACTGAAGAAAGGTAGGGGATCTGTAGAAGAGCAGGCATCAAGAAGGAGTCAATTTTCAGCAAGGTGGAGATGTCCAATGGCCAATGGGATGTGAGGAGAGCTGTTTGA